AACTCACAAACTGGTTGAAACCATTTGTGTTGTATCTCACTTACCCACTCAATGATGACCTATTCGTAACCCTTTGACCTTGATGCACTACCTAAGCCCTTCCTGTGGAGGATCCACCAGCAGATGATTTACAGATAAAAGAATGGAAAGCATGACAAGTGACTAACAAGTTCCTATGATAATTGCCATCTGTCAAATGGAAAGCTTTGAACTCCGCACCTCACTGAACAAGTTCAAGAAAAGTCAGGCCCCTGCACAGCCAACGACCATAGATACAGCCTCAGTCTAAATCCCTTCTGCATTTGCAAGAATACAAGCTATACTACACCTTGACAAGGAGCGACTCCTCTGTGCATTATGTAGTCGATTAATGACTTTAAACTCAGAAAATAAGATTATTATCTTGTTTCAGAGATTTGCATTCATTAAGTAATTAATAAAGATCACACAGGTTTGCCTCAAAGTTTATCCTTCCATTTCTTCTTTCAGCTTTGTGTTTTTCTCACTTTCTTTCAATATATCTGAGCTATGATCTTCAACTACTCCTTATGGCAGCAAGTTCTATGAAGTTTTTGTTTTGCTGAAGAATCATGTTGCCAAAGCTTTGCATCTTGCACTTAACAGAATAATGCCAACTTTCAAATGATCACAACTTAACAGAAAGCAGGGGGAAGCTCATGAATGCATCAGTTAGGTGATTCTTACTTTTGGTTCATCACATACAGTTGACAAATATTGGCTCAGATGGCAAACGCCATGTTACAGTGGAATATGTGGTCACGGGCTGCTCCTTCTCCAAGTCAGGACGCAGCACCAAGACCCAGGAAGCATCCAGACCGACTTTTGTTGTGCTTCTGTCTCACTGTCTGAATTCGTAATGAAGAGTCCAGCTGAAGTCAGCACTGTGAAGAACTTGACCCATAATTTTCACCTCCCTCTTTGTTCTCCTATTGAATCTGATTGCAGCACCAGAAGACTTATCCCTGCGATTACTACTACCTTTTCTCAAGACCATTTTAAAAAGTCACTGTAGTGTGCTGACTAACTCGAGGTGGGGGTTCTTGCTCCTTGGCCCATTCTAGAACTGATGTACATAAAGAGATAGGAAGATTGCTATAGGAAAGATGCTGTAAAACTTGAAAGGTTTCATTAAAGATTTACAAGGATGTTGCCAGGATAGGAAGGTTTGAGCTATAAGGAGAGGCTGGAGGTATTTGCCCCTGGAGCATCATAGGCTGAGGGGCGACCTTATGGAAGTTTATAAAATCATGAGTGGCATGGATAGGGTGAACAGTTAAGGTCTTTTCCCTATGGTAGGGGAGTCCAAAATTAGAGGGCACAGGTTTAAGGTGAGAGGGGAAAGATTTAAAAGGGACCTAAAGGGCAACTTTTTCAAGCAGAGGGTGGTGCGTGTAAGGAATGAGCTGCCAGAGAAAATGGTGAAGGCAGAGGGTACAATTACAACATTTAAAAAGGCAATTGGATAGGTATATGAATAGGAAGGGTTTAGAGGGATATGGGCCAAATGCTAGCAACTGGGACTAGATTAATGTAGAATATCTGGTCAGCATGGACAAGTTGAACCAAAGGGTCTGTTTCCATGCTGTACATTTCTCTGACTCAATGGTGAGTGTGTGGACAATGACAAGAGGATGTCATTAACCTTTCTAATTATTTCTTGACACAGTCTGAATGGGAACAGCATCAATTACAGGTTTCTTCTCAGCATAAGAAGGGCTGTAAATTGCAACTAAAAATGTTATGAAAATGCTAAGTTCTTAGTCAGTGGGACAAGCCAAGATTTAGCATTCCATGAATCAAATGTGAAGGGAGACTTCTTCAGGGCCAACCGATTCCCATCTCCCATGGGAAAGCTTGCCAGATCAAGCTCCATTAAGAGGTACTCAACTGAGAAGTGAGCTTCTTAGTGAAATCAGGAATTTCAAAGTCCAGGCTGCAAGAAGCTGCCAGCTAATCAGAGGTCAGCAGTGTCTGTGACCAATATTCTTTTTAAAAATCAACTTGGCTAGTCATATTATTACACATCTCAGGAGCAGGTAGGACTTGAAACTGGGTCTTCAAGCCCAGGGATAGGACACTACCACTGCACCACATGAGCCTATACATAAGTCATTTGCCCAGGCTTCAGGAGATCTGGCAATAATGTATATTGCTTTCTTTCAGGTCTTGACAGTGGACGTCAAGGGGGCACTGCAGGCCAGGGCAGAGGTGCAGCCTTTACCAGTCACTGCCTTGCCTGCTATTCCGTCCGTCAATTTATGCAAATGAACTAGGTCAAAAATCACACAAAACTTGGTTATAATCCAACAGGTTTATTTGAAGACACAAGCTTTAGGAGTCTTGCTCCTTTTCCAGGTGTTAGTGAGAGAAGTGGCATCTGATACAACAATTGCTAGAGGGGATTGTTCCCTCCCAGCGGGGGAACACTTCAGTGGTCAAAGTCACTTGGCCTCAGATCTTCGGGTAAATATCCTCCAAGACAGACTTCACGATACACAACAATGCAGAGTTGCTGAGCAGAGACTGATAGCCAGGTTCGGTACCATGATCATGGCCTCAACAGTGATCTTTGGTTCATGTCACACTACAGGTGACACCACCACATTTTACATTCTCTACTCTCACACGCGCTCCCTCTCCCACACGCTTGCTCCATCCCACGTGCTCCCCCTCCCACACCCGCGTGCATGCACACACGTACTCTGTCTCTCCCTCACACACACCCACACAAATCTATGGGGTGAATTTGCATTTACAGATACATTCTATTTTGTTCAAAATAGACACAATTTATAGACAATGTGGCATTTTATAAATTCCTGCTTTGGAAATTAAACCAGTCTGACTCCAAGTTAATACACAGCCAGATTCTAAACAAGGCCTCACACCTAAAATGTATTGTCCGACTTGGGATATCACCTCTGGATATACTAACAAAACCTTTAGTTATCTCAGGGTAGTGACTTGAAAGAATTTCTGGGAAATGCATATTAATCCATTCTAACTGATTAGAGATTTAACAACCATTTTAAGTTTGTTCAACACATTCGCACGAGTTCTATGATCCTTTGATCTTTAGCTTATAAAAGCTGTATCTGATGCCATTCCTCTCACTGACACCTGAACGAGGAGCAAGACTCCGAAAGCTTGTGTCTTCAAATATACCTGTTGGACTATAACCTGGTATCATGTGTTTTTTGACTTTGTCCACCCCAGTCCAACACCAATACCTCCACATTGGAGGGTGTAGTCTTCATTTGCACAATTTAGAAACCAGGTCACCCTAGTTTAGCAGCCAAAAACCAACCACTTGTCAGAGAGGAAGTCAGAATAGCAGGCTGCTGGTGTTAAAGGGCCTTAAAGAAGGTATTAAATGCTTATGTGAAGGTCTTAATTAGTAGCAAATCGAGGATGATACTGGAGTACACACTCCAGTCACATCAAATTTATTCAAAATGAGCCACAGGATCGCTAGCTATGGAAAGTTTGCGTTATAAGGAAAGGCTGGGACTTTAGCACCACCCCCCACCACCCAACAGGAGTATAGGAGGTTGAGAGGCAACCTGATAGAACTTCATAAAATAATAAGAGGTATAGAGTTGATAGTAGTCATCTTTTCCCTAAGATGGAGAACTTCAAGACAAGAGCGCACATTTTTAAGGTGAGTGGAAAGAGATTTAAATAAGACACGAGGCTATTTTTCTGTTTTACACAAAGCGATTGAGGTGTGGAATGAACTTCCTAAGGAAGTGGTGGATGCAGGTACAATTACAACATTTGAAAGACATTTGGATAGATTTGGAGGGATATGGGTAGAGGAGTAGGCAAATGGGATTAGTTGGACCAAAGGGTTCGTTTCTATGCTGTATGACTCTACGACATAGTCGTGGATATCCCCTCAACTTTTAGGTCAGGCAATGCATTCAGAGAAGCAGCTGATCAGGTTGTGTCCATTGGTGCCCAATTTTGGACAGGGCACTGTACTCATGTGTACATGACTCTAATGCAGCACTTAATTGCCAAGATGTTAAGGAAAAGGGCAGTCTCTTAGCAGGACCAATGTGCCCAATTATCTTTTCTCAATCTGCAGAGACTGGATAATCCTACCCACAGGATTAATAAGTTAGCTGCCCCTACCCTTAACTGGGGCAAAAGACAGCCACTAGCTCCAACTTGGAAGGCAGTTCATCCTGGTTTAACATTCAAAACTATGTCTTGGCCAGCAGAGAGATAGGGTTGCTCCAACAGCCCATGGCCAAAAGTTGGTAGAAGAGGGCTGATCCCATTATGAATGTATATTGGAGAGGAAGGATTAGGAGTGAGACAGACTTGTTTGAGAAACATTGAGAGCTTCAGTGAGACTTACATGAGTTCACAAAATCTCAATCTACACTTCTGAAGTACTACATATCTGTCAGATTATGACCTGATCTACACTTTAAAACGTCAACTTTAAGCATTAGTATGCTGCTTCAATTGCGGTTTTGGATTTTTCAGCATCAGGAAAAAAAAGTCACACTGGCAGCACTAGTCTAGGAAACTGTACCTTGAAATCTGATGTGTCACACTGCTGACCTAGTCCACGGGCAAAACATGTTTACGCGTCAGGTGTTATTGGCCGGGGTGCAATATGTACTCAACCAATTGCTGCGGTTTATCATTTCACCATGTCAGAAAACAAACGTCAAAGTTCAACATACAGTATTTGGCATTACTGCCACTTTAATCGCACAAAAAAATAAGCTTTTAAAAAAAAAAGCAAGTTTCCCCCAAAATAACACCAAAAGCAGTTTAGCCTCCGACAGATCAAAGGTCATTTCGTTACTAGATGGGAAGATAATGCAGCATTTTGCTGTTTTATTTCAGGTTTTCAGCGCAGTTTTGTTTTTTTGAAAGAGGCATACTCTAAGCACATCGTTTTACTATCAAATTTATTTAAACACGAACTAAAAAGAAATGAGTCACATTCTTCAAATCACCTCAACTTTCAGATCAGGCATCGTCTCCAGAGCCGCCTTCAGCCCTAGGGAAGCAGCAGCACCGACCTCGGCGATCAGGTTGTGTCCACAGGCGTGACCAACCTCGGGCAGGGCGTCGTACTCGCACAGGACACCGACGACGAGGCCTCCCGCCGGGCCCTAGTCCGCCCTGAAGGCTGTGTCCAGGTGGTAGCGAGGCTTCACCTCCCAGCCGCCGGCGGCCGTGAAGAAATTGCAGAGAGCGTCGTGAGCCCGCCTCTCCTGATAGTCCGGCTCAGTGCGGACAGGTCGTCGTCGTCGGCATCATCATCATCATCATCATCATCATCATCCACAGCCAGGCACGACAACTCCTTCAGTGCGAACAACTCGTCCGGCCCCGAGCCCATCGTAGCGGCATCTGCCCCCTCCGCCTGAAGGTTCTTCTAACCACTCCCCGCCCGCACAGCCTTTCCGCCAATCAGCGGCCAGATCAGTGTGGGGGCGGGGCATCAACACCAATCAAAAGGCTGCACAACACAGCCTCTCCTCCAATCAACAACCGAATCAGTAGGGGCGAGGCCACACACGGTGCTGCCTGCCCTCCAATCTGCAGCTCGCTCGATGGGGCGGGGCAGCAGTCCCAATTCCTTCAAACTGTGCCCAACTGGAATGTTTCATGGTTGGAATCATGTTTGTAAATTTGTTCTGAACTCTATGCAATGTGTTAACGTTCGTCTCATAGGTGTGACGCAGAATACTGAGGTCCAACAGGTGCATTGCATAAGTTCAACATATCCTCTAAAATAAAACGAAGAGCCGCAGATGGTGGAGATCTGAAGCCAAGGAAATTGTTGAAGAAACGCAGCAGGTCTGGCAGCATCTGTGAAAACGTTTTGAATCCGGTTGTGAAGAAGTATCACCAGACTCGAAATATTAACGTTGCTTTCTCTGCATAGATGTAGCCAGACCCGCTGAGTTTCTCTAGCAATTTTTGCTTGTTTCAACATATCCTTGTTCAATGTATGCTTCTTTATTGTGCTTTCCAATTGCCCTGCTACCTTAAGTGATCGATATCCATGTGCATGAAAGCAAAGGGTATGGGGTTGAAGTCATTATAAAGGCTGTAAATTCCATGGTTGCAGGGTTGTATCACAGGGGATAACAAAGCCCACAAAGAATCAGATTGAATTAATTGTAACAAACATGGAAAGCAATGTAAAGGCTGCAAAGGTGTTGTCCGTGGCAGAACGATGAAGGGGAAAACCGGTCACAGGCTATGGGGGATACACTACACGATATTTTCACCCAACAGCCTGAAAAGAACCCAAAAGGTAAATCGACTATATCACGTACTCATCTAGAAAATAAACTCTGAAGGGTTACTGGACCTGAAATGTTGAGTCTGCTTTCTTGATTTTATGTTAGAAAATAACCATCTCATTCCTGATATTTATCCAGGTGCTTTGATGCCAAATGTTTGATCAACTTATCTCAGCTTTTGTATAAACATTGCTGAAGTTAAGAATAGTGAAAAGGAAGAAATGCAACAGAACAAGAGAACTTCTAATTATTTTTGCGCTAGCTGTGGAGTGGGATTTAGGGGCTGCAAAGAAAACCATAAAGATCTTTTAGTGCCTCACGCTGTGACTCTTAACTAAGATTTCATTAAGATTGGGTGCTGGATTTTAAGGTATTTGAGTTCACTTCAACTCTACTTGTAAGATTTAAGTCAATTATAATTACTGACTAAGTTCAGACAACCAATCTAAAAGTTTACAGATCCTTTTTAGTTCCAAGGCCCACTCCAGGTACTAGTATATTTTCAAAAGTCTCACAGCATTTATTAAGTTTATCATAACAAGTACGAAAGAAACAATACTTGACAAAAGCACTGGTTTTTAGTCAAACCAACTTGGGGTACCAGATCACCACACTGGTTAACTGGGTGCAGGTGTCTTTTTCTCTTCTGTCGACTGAAGATGTAGATATAGTTCTTAGGAATCAAAGGATATGGGGAGAAAGTGGGGACAAAGTACTGATCAACCATAGATCATATTGAATGGTGGCAGAACAGACTTGAAGCACTGAATGGCCTATTTCTGCTCCTGAATTCTGTGTTTCTGTCTTTGTTCTTCCTTTCTGTGCACTGAACCACTAAGAATTACTACTTATTAACCCTTGTTAGCCATCAGCCCCTGTACATGACCGGAAACAACCTGAACTCTAACTTCTCGCCAACTCATGAACAGTGTATGATTAACATCACATTGGCTAAACAATGTACAGCCAATTCCTGATTTAAAAGTAATGGTCATCAAATGATATTACTTCCTGTTGTCTCTTGATTCATTTTTGACAATGCTGATCACCTTTGTAGGATTACCCCTTTGTAACAGTTTGACTGCATCAACATGCCAATGTTCTACATCTTTACTGATAAAGTGCTCTCAGTGAAGCTATTTATGTGCAAGTCTAGGAGTATGTAATGTCAACTCTCAGTGATTTGAGAGAGCTTCAAATGTCCCAATTGATACATGTAATGTTCTCAAAAATCCAAAGCTGTTTTAATTAAAACAACCTTTTGTCAATGCACAATGTCACCTGGACTCTGGGGCCTATGACATGTTAACTAAAAATATGAACAGTACAAACTGCTCTAGAATAAAAATCTGTGCAGAATCTACATAAAGATTAGTACATAGAAATGATCAGTATACTAAAACTGAAGTTACAGAATACACATAGAAGGTGCAGTATAATACACTCATAAATACATATAAAGCAGTCAAATCAATTACAGGACTAGAAAATTCACTTTGGAGCCTAATTCCAAAGTCATACAAGTACACACAACAGAAACACAAACACATACATGTACCCTGCTATATACTTTAACTATTTCTCTTTTAAACCAACAGTACAAAATTACAAAACTAAACCATTCTAAAGTACAAAGAGCTGCATCCTGAGTAAAAACTGTGTTCACTTTAAAAGCATCTACACATTTTGTGATTAGCAAACTATCAATGCTGTCACTTCACTTAAACAATGTTTAACTTGGGCCATAAAACAGTAGTAAAACCATAACCTATTACCTTATTACTGAAAGTGCTCCACAACTAAACAAATATAATTTAATTCCTCGCTTACTGAATAAATAATTAGTTATTGAAAAATAACTCATCCTACATGTTGATGCTTGATATGCAACTGGGAACAACAGATCGGAGGCATTCTCACTAGGTGGCTGTAGACATCCAATCTCCCCTTCCTCACAGGCATGCTCCCTTGGTGTCCTGCCAGCTCAGTGGCCTACTTCTCAAAAGGATTCAGGGGCTTCATGCCAGGCATCAACTATCCTCCCACCCCCAATGTTTGCACATGTTCACACTTATTGTGCATGTTTTCCTCCTGCAGAAGGACAGAAGCATTAAGAGACATTAGAATAAAAAAAACTGCAGATGCTGGAAATCTGAAACAAAAACAGAAATTGCTAGCAAAACTCAGCATGTCTGGCAGCATCTATGGGGAGAAGCGTTTTGGACTCAATACATTAAATCTGCTTTCTTAATGTTTTAAGTAGCCAAATCAAATCAAGTTGTGCATGGATAAATGTCATCTCCTTTCAAATCTGTGTCCTCTGGATTTTAAAGAGTTCAGCTTACAATTTGGTTGAGAATATTCATAAGAAAGTTAGTTGGTAAAATAAAATTTGCACTGAGCATCTGAAATACTGGAAAATAATCGCAGAACAGGAGATGGCTTTGTCTGTCACCCCCGTTCTGCTTCTTTTCCATATCAATGACCTGATTCACTCATCATCCAACTTTTTGTTTATTTTATTCAATGTACATCTGCTTCATTCAGATTGTATTCCTTCAATGTACAAATCCCTAATTTCTCTTGCAGTACAGTAACTGAATCACTAAATCTTTACCTTATTTATGCCTGTGGGTATAAGTTTCTTCATTTACTAACATTTGCAAAAGAAAAATCAACGTAATCGAGTTTTCGTGGAGATTTTTTCATCTCTTGGAAATCTGCAAAATCTTATGTTGATGATTTTACTCTTCATTCTCCTTCATCTGTTGTCATTCTTCATCCGCTGACATGTAAGCCTTATTATTTCCTTCAGATCTCATATGGAATTCCCTTATCTCTATTGGTGTTAAAGCAGCAACCAAAAAGCTCCAGTTCCTTTTTGGTGTCAAATGATAATTTCCTTAACAACTTCCATTTAACTTTCCATGAAGCTGGAATCTATTTGAATATTGTTTTTATTTCTGGTGAGACTGTTCTGGCAATTGTCTTGAGCTCCTAGGCAATATATATAAAAAAAGAATTTGTTAGCTGATGTGTAATAATTCTCTCACTTCCACTGACAAAACTGAGTTTTCTACAGATAGTTATGTAGATGTGGTACAGGTAGGTTACAGTTGCAACATTTAAAAGACATTTGGTCAGGTATATGAATAAGAAAAGTTTAGAAGGATATGGGCAAAAAGGTTAGAGGGATATGGGACTAGATAAGTTTAGGACACTTAGTCAGCATGGACAAGTTGGGCCAACGGGTCTGTTTCTGTGCTTTAAGACTCTATGGCGCTGGATTTTATGCAGCTCATCATAGTGGGAATCATGGATACTGCCCTATTTAATCATGTCTCCCATTCCCTCAGAAAATCATGCTGCAAAACCTGTCCAGTTTATGAGCAATCTCCCTATCATTTGAAGGGGAGAAGGGAGGAGGATGCCGTCATTGTTGAGCACTCTGCGCTTGATCAAGGAACACAGAATCAGAAAAAGGAATCTGAAAGCCAACCTCTAGCCTTGCCTCAAATCGCTTTCCACTCCCATGACTCCAATCCAACCTTCGCACATCTATGACCTGGTCTTCTTCTGCAATTTTTTTGCCTAGCATAGGTGCAGTGTTATCACTGCTCCTGTGGTGCAGGCAGCTTGAGGAGCAACCAAACAGATTGTTGTGAGTTCTGCTACTCCAGATCTCAATCGCAGGAAAGGTCTGATGGCAGCCATTGATGAGGGTTCCCAACTGGTCTCTGTGAGGGAGACTTCACTGGCCTGACAAAATCCTGGCCTTAGTTTTAAGTGTAACCCAAAAACAAAGTCCTATCCTTTTGCATTTTCTGCAATAAGTAAAACTAATGCTGCTGCCAAAAATCTATAACAGGTAAGAATATTTAGAACTTATTTGTCAAATGATAGAAAAATCATTTTTACATGCAAGTGTGTAATTATGTGAAATGTATAATTTTCATAGGTATTTCCATAAACAATTGCAAATAAATCTCTAATATTACAAGATCTTTAAACCATTTTTCTACTGTAGCTAAATTGTTTAGTTTTTGGAAGATATGATACCTCTTCATCTTTTCTTCTGAAGGGATGGAGCAGGATGGAAACAAGAATAAATGCAGGCATTTTTTTTTTTATATAGCTCCTAGTAAGAACTATAGGCAGACTTGAGCAATTCAGTTACTAGCCTTTTGATTCAATAAATGAACTGTAAGCAATACAAAAGGAAACTTAAGCCGATCACTTTTTCAAGTCCTATAATCCCAAGGTGAAAATCTGCATTAGCACCTAAAAACGCACAGGGTAAAACTCTGGGAACCTGTACGACAAACACGTAGATACTAGCCAACCTTCAGTGGCATTAGCAAGGCAAAATGATCTTGAGATGCTTAGGCAAAATGAGGTTAGATATTTGAAGATGATTCAAAAAAGCATTCACAAAAACATAGAAAGTAAGATGAGTCAGCCATTTAAACCCTTGTGCTCGCTCTGCCATTCAACTAGATCATGGCTGGTCTTTCTCTTAGATGCCATCGTCCTGCACTATCTCCATATTCCTTGATATCGTTAATACATAGAAATCTACCAATCCCTGTCTTGGGTATGCTAAATGCCTGAGCCTTGATGGTTCTCTTTAGGTAGAGAATCCTTAAAAAAAAAACGCCAGCATCTGAATAAAGAAATTACACCTCATCTCAGTTCTAAATAGTCCACTTCTTATTCTAAGAATGTAACCCCTGGTAATAGATCCTTTAAATAGGAGATGCATTCCTTCTCCTTTTACTGTTTTGAGTCCTGTAATAAATGTGTATGCTCCAATGAGATCATCTCTCATTCTTTTAAACTCCAGAGAACAAAGGATTAATGTCTTCAATCTCTTCTCACAGGAAAATCCCAGTGGCCCACGGATCACACCGGTGAGCCTCTGTACACTCTCTCAATGATAAGTCTTTCCTTACTTAGGTCAGGAAAACAAAACTACACACAAACTGCCAAGTGTGGTCTCACCAAGGCTTTTTACAATTGCAGCAAGATTTCTCCAATAAAGCCCAATTACATACCATTTGTTGTCCTAACTGCCTGCTGCACCTGCATGGTTCCTTTCACGAAGCCATGGAGACCTATAGGACAGAAAAAAGGCCCTTTGGCCTCTCAAACCCATGCTGGTCAAAAACAATCACCTCACTTTCCATGGCTTATAAAGAAGGAGACTTAGGTCCCTTTGGATATAAACACTTCCCAATCTCGCACCATTTAAGAAATATTCTGCATTTCAGTTTTTCCTATTAAACTGAATATCCTTATATTTTTCCAAATTGTATTCCACCTGCCATGTTCTTCCACATTCGATTGCCCTGCCTAAATTCTCTTCAAGATTCTTTGCATCCTTCTCACAATTCACATTTTCACCTATTTTTATGTCATCAGCAAATTTGGAAATATTACATTTGATCTCCACATCTGATTCATTGATAGAGGTTGTGAATATCTGAGACCCAAGCATTGATCCTAATAACCCACTAATCACAGCCTGCATCCTGAGAATGACCCATTTATTGCTTCTTTGTTTTCTGTGTTACTCAATCCTCAATCTATGCCAGTATACTCACACTAATCCCTCATGGTCTAATTTGGCCAACTATCCTCCTGTTTGAAAGATTATTGAAAGCTTCTAAAAACTCAAATAAGCCACATCCATAGGTTTCCTCTCAAAACATTCTAACAGACTTGTCAAATGTGATTTCTTTTTCAACAATGCTTGGTAATTCTGTGTAATCCTACAGTTATTTTAAATGTCTAATTATTGCATCCTTTGGAATATGAAGTATTTTTCCTACTATTGACATCAGGCTAACAGGTCTGTCATTCCCCATTTTTTCCTCCCCCGCCCTTTATTAGTTGTATTTGCTACCTTCCAATCTGCAGGGACAATTCTAGAATTTACAGAATTTGGAAGATGACCATCAACTCGTTCAAAATCTCTACAACCACTTCTATCCAATCTTGTAGGTGAAGATCACCACGTCCAGGGTACTTAACTTTTTATCCCATTAATTTCTCCAGCACTACTTTCTTTACAAATGTTAATTTAATTCAGCCTCTTATTCTTGTTAGTCCCTTTAGTTCTCTAGTATGGATGGAAGGTCTTTTGTATCAAATTTGGGTTGGAAGTATAGAATTTTTCCCTCCCTTCTCTTTATATGGAGCTGCTTCTTCTACACAAAGCATTTCTGGCTATGCTGATCATGGACCCTTCATCCATGCAACTTGGCATTGGCAAACACCAACCTCATAATGCTATCATGTTTGCTCTTGGACCAACTCAATAACAACCTCATGACTTCAGCCATATATTTTCCAACAGTTATGACTTGCATTCTTCTGCCATTTTGCTGTGCACTCAAGAACTGCTAGGTAACTTAGTTAACTATACAGGATGCTTTATGCTGGCATTGAGTTAGGCATCTTATGGATCTAGTTTGGTTATTGGCACAATGTCTTTAGCACATACTTAGGTGCATCCAGCCTGTGACTTGCTTTTTTTTTTAAAAAAAAAAAGAACAACAAGACTTAAGCACTCAATCAGAGGCATCCAACCTCTGAAATTTAGCCTACTTTTTACTGCACAAGGTCTTTAATGCTGAGTTAAAAGCAGGCAGCCTCTTTGGATTAACGTTTAGCACAGAGTGGGGAGGCAGCATATGGTGGCAGGGAGCACTGGAGAGTAAATGTATCAGTTAAAGAGAGTGGATAAGTCAGCGTATGGCACAGTGCACTGTCACCATCAGAACTGCAGCATACACAGCAAACGCACTGCATGAGCTTGAATAGCCATGTGCGAAAGTCAAGGGGACAAGTGCTTAGTGGGTAAGAGTTGACCACAGTTGGTCAAGGGGCTCATCTCATTAGTCGAGGATATCCCCAGTCAGTCCTTCAGGTCAAGTGCAAGCAGTCCAGGGATTATATTATCAATCAGGACATTGTTTAAAGAAAAAAAAGGTGCCAACAGGGAAAATAGCAGGGGAAGAAGGATTAGTTTTACCAAAACAGCCAGCACAGTTGGCCAAAATACCAAAAACAAAAGCAAAAATTGCTGGAGAAATTCAATAGGTCTGGCAGTATCTGTGGAGAGAAAGCAGTCAACTTTTGTAGCTCAGGTTGTGTGTGTTGAGGTTGGTTGGCTCGCCGAACTGGTTTGTGGTTTTGCAGACATTTCATTACTGTGCTTGGTAACATCCTCAGTGCAGCCTCCGACGAAGCGTCAGTGCGTTTTCCCGCCTGGTTTTTAAACTCTGGGGTCCGTTGAGATGGATTGCCTCACTTCCGGTTTTCCGTCGTAGTGGAATGTATATGGGGTCGAGTTCAATGTGTTTATTAATAGCATGCTTCGTGGAGTGCCATGCTTCCAGGAATTCTCGTACTTGTCTCTGCCTAGCCTGTCCCAGGATCTTGGTGTTGTCCCAGTCGAAGTCGTGGTTCTCCTTGTCCACGTGGATTGAGATGAGTGAGTATTGGTCGTGTCTTTTTGTAGCCAGTTGGTGTTCATGTACTCTTGTTGTTAGTTTCCTTCCTGTTTGTCCAATGTAGTGTTTCTCGCAGTCTCTGCAGGGGATTTTGTAGATCACATTGGTCCTGTCCATGGCAGGGAGTGGGTCTTTAGTTCGGGTGAGCAGTTGTCGTAGGGTTGACGTGGGCTTGTGTGCCACTTTGATGCCCAGTGGTCGTAGGAGTCTTGTGGTGAGTTCCGACATGTTCCTGATGTAGGGTAGTGTGATGAGTGTGTCGGGGCATGTAGAATCTTTCTGATGCTGTTCTTGTAGGTATCTTCTGACCCAGTTCTTTGAACACTTGGAAGAGGTATTCTTCTTCCTCTTGGTGTAGTTCCGTGTTGCCGCAGTGTGTTGTTGCCCTTTTAAAGTGTTCGCACGTAGCTTAGTTTGTGTGCTGGGATGGTTACTATTGACGTTCAGTACCTGGTCTGTGTGTGTGGCTTTTCGGTGTAC